GCAACTGCAAGCGAAATAGAATGAAAAATTTTAGATGATATACCTCCACTAATTCGGAACGTTGCCAAACCGTTCATGACTGTCAAACTCTCCGCCGAGGCAGAGAGGAACCCGGGCGAGACTTTGCCGCAGGGCAGAGTTTCGTCCGGACAGGTTGACAGGTTCAAAGGGAATATTTTTGGTCGAACCTACATGCTCGGAGAACCCACGCTAAATCGGCCTTGTGCCACATACGACCCACGTGGGGGGCGTTAAATATAACCTCCACTAATTCGACATACGTAAGGTTTTAAATGAATTTAAAAAAAAATGAAAGCTGAAGGATTGAAAATTTACAGTTTTCAGTAAGCCAAATACTGTTAAAACAAAAATTATATTTATAGTTCCAACGGTGAAGGTATTTATTTTTTTTTTCAGTAAAATCTAAAAAAATCGACCATTTTGTCACATTTGTAAACAAATGATATTTCTCGGTTTTAAAAATATTGTAAAAATATAATATATATTTCTGAAAAGTTATTTAAAGACAGTTAGCAAATTTAAAATGGAATTAATCTGATTTGAAACAAATATTACTTATAGCATATAATGTTGTATTTAATAACGGAGTCTTGCTTCTTTTTTTTTCTTGCGTGTTAATCCACCGAACGTATTTATATTTAAGTATGGTGAAGTAGACGATAAAGTTTATGGATTTTTTCCCAATAAAGGGTGTCAACCTTTAAAACACGTGGCCTTTTAATAATAATATTATAGGTTTAGACATCTATCACGCATACAAAAACAAATCGAGTCTTTTAAAAATATTGGGGGTCATCAGACTAAATAAGCGTTAAAATATACGATTAGTAAATAGAGGTTTACTTAATAACAACATTTTCTAAGAGTTATCTCACTGAAAATGAATTTTAAAAGATATAAATCTTTATAAATTATTCAATTTAAAATTGTAATAAATGATAGCAAATCTTGTAAAATTCATTTTTCATCGAATTTTTTTCTTCAGACCATATTGCCTTTAATATATATTATTCATAAAAGCAATTAAAAACTTCCCGAATTAAATAATGCCTTAGATTTCTGGAATATTTTTTCGGTTCAGAACAGATTTTCGGTAAGACGGGTGCAATTTTGCAAAAAGAATTCGAGTATTTAAATTCTTCGGATAATTCTGCTTTCAACTAATATAGTCACTAAATATTATCATATTCAATATTTCAAGTTTTAATCAAATTAAGTATGTAAAGGATAAGATATGTAAAAAATGTTTTTATCAAGATTTTCTGAAAAAGAAAAGTTAAAAAACTATTTGCATTCATTTGTGAATAAATTCTGAAAATTTAATTAAAATCTGACCATTATTTGGTTTTTGCAAAAATTACTAAATTAATGTCTGTCACCGCAAAAAAGCGGTTAAAATTTGATTTGCTAACGGTTAGTACAAGCGCTGATGCCAAAAAACGAGTATTTTAATCAAAATTTCGAATGTTCTAAAAAAAAAAAATTAAAAAAAAATTAAATAATCAAAAAATACATTGATCTTTCCTCTTGATAATAACATAAAGATTTTGCCGATAAAAAATACGTTTAGAGCATGTTTTCACCACGGTATGCTGATTTTTTAACGTTTTCATGGTACCTATTTCAGAAGGAACCGGAAACGTAATAGAAAACAAAGGATAAACCTCTAGTATTCTTTCAAAGGCCTATCTTTATTATATATATATAAATATATATATATATATATATATATATATATATATATATATATAAAAAAGTCAAAAAGAAGACATTTCTTTACCAAGGCGTTTATCAAGACAAGTATCGGGATTTCGTTTTGAAAAACGTATTTATAAACAGAAATAATAATAAAATATTGTTAGATTTTCAATTTTTAACATTTAAGATCGCTCATAAGTATACTTTATGATATCTATGAAAGTCAAGGTAAACTATGAAGAATGCTACGTGACGCAATGTAATGCCTGATAAAGTGAATCATTATTTTATTGTTCAATTTATTTCATAATATATATATATATATATATATATATATATATATATATATATATATACATTTTTATGTAACTATTATTTATTATTTCATTTTAATTTGGTAAATTATATATGTATTTATTTAGTAATACAATATTTTATTTAATAAATCTATGTCTATTACACACACACACAAACACACACACACACACACACACACACACACACACACACACACACACACACACACATATATATATATATATATATATATATATATATATATAATTATATATTTCTAATATATCAATGTCTAATATCTATATATGTATATATTTGGTCGGAGCAAAGCTTTTAGCAATTTTTAAGTGAATTTAAAAGACAATACATGGAGTATCTTTGCAATGTCCCATATCGTATTACTTAGATCATTTTTAATCAACGTTTCGATTTAGTCATAATCAAAGGCATCAAAGACCTATCGGGAACGTTCTCGATCTTCCAGATCAAAATATTCACTTCTGAGCCTAGCGACTAACTTGCAGTAAGTACCTGGCTATGGTACTATCGCTATAAACGGCATATATCTTTTTTGTTGTGTTCTTTTTTCTTCCCAGCAATAAAAGATCGCCCAATGACAAAAAAAGCATCTCCTTTTCACTTTTAACTTAAAGCATTTCAAACTGACACTCCACGCATACACGAATCGTTAAAAGTCCTCTTCGTTCCAACACAAAAGGTTTTTACAGTTCTAACAGTATAGTAATTTTTTGTTTCAACGCTAAAAAGCCATTACAATTCCAAAGCCAAACATATTTACAGTTCCAATACATCAGTATCCAATGTATTACTTGTATCAGAAATCGTTATTACCTCCCAAAAATGGTCACAATATTGAAATATTTGCTGGCTTTAAATAACCGGCAAAAGGTTGATAAGCCGTCAAAAGCGAATTTATAAATCAATCATTAATTATAGTATTAATTCCTTTTCTCGTTCCATTTGCTACCCATTTCTTTTGTTATTAGAAATGTTATGAAATTGTTATTTGGTAGCACCTGGCTATAGGTTCTGATGTAGGATTGTTATCTACTGTACCTATGAACACTAATGGGTATGTCCCAATCCTCATAAATACGTTGGACACTATTGTAATTGGATGTAGTATTCTGTCTAAGTAGTCCATCTCTAGCGGTGGTTTACCTACTTCACGTCGCTGGCGAGTATTGTATTTCGTTGATGTTATAAAGTTTATTATTTCATTTCCAACCTCCGTTTTGATTATTCGTCATTCAGTAACCTTTTCAAGGTTACAACAGTTGTCTTATTTAAGACTGAAAGAATTCATTCACTTGAAGCCATTTTTAAATTTTGATTTGAGAAAATGGGTGAATATAGATGATAGTTAAGACATTGTTGTACAAGATGGACGCCATAAATCACATCCATGTGAAAGTGAAGTTCTGACAAGGCTGTTTAAAAACATTACTCATATTTTCAGGTTAATTTCTGGCTTCGTAGCATCAGATGTTGTTAGACACATATATCACTGTAACCTGTTCTGTTTTAATATCCTTCTATTCGATATTAAATTTATAACAGATCCATACACCGAGATATTTGAAGTGTCTAGAATTTGTTAATTGTATATTATGGATC